ATATTAAAGGGTGATGTCAGGTGATAGTTTCTATGCGTCAACTATCTAGAGTTATAGGAGGAGGATGGATATCGGAAGAATGGATAGTTGGAGTATAAGGGGATGTGTTGTCTTGGGAGGGATTAGAAGGAAGTGGTGTAAGGGTGCTAGGAGTAAGAGGGGGATGGATTTCAGGAGGATGGATATCGGTGGTGGACAGAATTGAGGGGTTAGGTTGTGTTGAGAAAGAATAAGAGTAAGGGGTGTAGGGGAATATGTGTAGGAGGGGTATGGATATCAGCAACCACTTCGTGTGGAGGGAGCATGAGTTGGAATTTTGTGTCTCATGCATATAGCTTTGAATGTCTTCCATAGTTTCTGCAGTGGAGTTGGTTGGAGAGTTTTGTGGGACAAAGGTTTTCTTATGAGGGGGGAAGAGGAGACTGGTGTCTGAGGAGTAAAGGTAAAGGTAGGTGGAGGTGAGTGTGCGGTAGGTGAAGAAGGGGTGGAACGTTTCGTCTGTCTACTGCGGGTAGTGCGGGGAGGGAGGGGATGGTGTTGGGGCTGTAGTTGAGATTGGAGCTGTGGTTGAGAATGTGGTCTGGATTTAGAGTGGCAAAAGAATTTGACTGGGGGAGGTTGAATGTAGAAGTGGAAGTGGGAAGTGGGAAGTAAGTAGGTATAGGGGAGGGTGTAGGAATCTTGAGGTGGAGGGGAGGGCAGAGCGAGCGACATTACTGGAGTAGGGAGTATAGAGAAACCTTGTCGGCGTGCTTCCTGTCTGGCTTCACGTAGAGTGAGACCATTTTTGTATCTGAGAGCTGCTACCTCAGACTCGAACTTGTAAGTGGGACAGCCTCTATAAAATACATTATGGGGGCCGCCGCAGTTAGCACATGTGCGTGTTTGTGCAGGGCAGTTTGATCTGTTATGACCGGGTTGGGCACAGAGGAGGCATCGGTCTGTGGAGCGGCAGTGTTTGGCAGGATGTCCAAATCGCCAACAATTTTGACATTGACGGGGAGGAGGTTGGTATGGTTGAACAGGGAGGGATTGTCCACCAATGTAGATACGAATGGGAAGGTCATGTGTACTGAAAGTAATTTTGGCAATGTTGGTGGGTTTCTTTCGATGACCTCTAGGAGGAATGGAGTAGCAATGTACTTATTCACGCCCTGGTCTTTGAGGCAGCCGAGCAAGTCTTCTCCACAATCTAACCAATCTTTGGTATCGACTGGGCAGTTTGCTGGGGAGATAGAATACAAGTGTTAAGAGTTGGATGAGGTTCTGCAGGAATGGGGTTGCCAGAGAGATCAGTTAGTTTTGATAATGCTATAGCTTCAGCTTCAGATCTGACTGTTACGAGACAGGAGCGATCGCGTCGGGTATGGAAAGGGACGCTGCCTGCATGTTTTTGGAGCCATTGTTGAAAGAGAAGAGAGTTGCCTGAGTAAGGAGCTGTAGGAGGATCACGAAAAATCGGTCACATTTAGCTGGACTAAATGATAGTTAAGATATTTGTAGGGTTGGTGGTGGTAGAAGGACGGGGGCGTGCGAAGCGGGAGTGTTGTTGAGTCGGATAGTATTACGGAAAGATGAAGAATAAGGCTGTAAGGTATTAATCAGGGAGGTTAGGGTGTTTGATGAAGAAGGTTGTAGGGGTAGAGTTGATGAATTTGAGGAAGTTGGGAGGGTAGCAATGTCTTCTTGAGATGAGTCTCTGCTTGGGTGGGTAATGCACTAGTAGGCATTGAGGAGTGGATAGTAGTTTCAGTGTTCGGAGTCGTGGTCAAAGGAGAGCCTGGGGTCGGGGAGCCAGTGGAGCTATTTGATGAAGGGGCAAGCCTCATTGCCTCTTATAAGGGTATTACATTTTCATTACTGGCCATGGGAAGCCTTATTATGTAAGGGAAATAAGCAGTCCACCCCCCAGTGCCCTGTAAGGGGGTAAGGGCTAGACAACTAAATCGGGAGTACCGTGCCCATGGTTCCCTCAGGCCGTTCAGGACTGGCTCAAGGTCAGCCTTTCTTCCTTTCAGCACGACTCTTACACCTTAGGAAGTAGATAGTAGAAGGGTCGGAAAAAAAAGATGGAGGGGGGAAAGACCATGCAAAATTAGTTGAGTCGAGGGCTGAGGCTCAAGACAGGGGAGATCCCTGTATTGGGTCTCAGTCTCCGTCTCCTAAGCCCCCACCCCCTACGACAACAACGGGCAAGGGATTGGGGGGACTAATTAAGAATAATAAAATCATTTGTGGAGAGGTAGCATTCTAGGGATTGGCTACGGGAGGTGATAGAATTATCCCAGAGTGTGGTAGCAGTTAAAATCATCTACTATGAGGAAAGGTGGAAGGAGTTGGGAAATTAGTTTCAAAGGGTGGGAAGGGGATAAGAAGACTGAAGCAAGTGTGATCCAACGGCGAAGACATGTGAATAACTGTGCACGGGTCGTTTGAAAGGGAGATATGACATAGGGGTTGTCTGATGGATGAGTATAAATGAGACATAAAGGGAGTGTAAGGAAGAGACAAAATAGTCGTTGGGAATAGGTATAGGAAGATGTGTAAGAAAAATCTCTTGGAGGCAGATAATGGATGGGTTATAAGAAGGATATGACGAAGTTCAGTTCTGTGAGAATGGAAACCGCGAATATTCAATTGTAGGAGAGCTATAACTCAGTTGATCTATGTGATAACAGTTACCGAACGTGTTGGAGAATTTGAAGGGGAAGGAGCTAGGGGGTGAGATATGGAATTAGAGGGGGCGGGTGTAATATCAAGAAGGGTATCAGGTGGTGGAGGATATGGGGAACGGCATAGTTGTGACATTAGGGATTCACGTGTGTATCTGGGAAGAAGTGGTAGTGATAGAGGGGATGGAGGGTTAATGTACGTATAGTTGTAGCTCGGGGGAGGAGGATGGGTTGTGTTAGGAGGGATTAGGAGGAAGGGGTGTAGGGGGAATATGAGGATGGAGTTTTTGTAATGGAGTTGGTTGGGGGAGTTTTGTGAGACAATCGTTTTCTTATGAAGGAGGGGAAGGAGACTGGTGTCTGAGGAGTAGAGTCAAAGATAGGTGGAGGTGAGTGTGTGGTAGAAGGGGTGAAACGTTTAGTCTGACTGCTGCGGGTAGGGCAGTATCTGGATTTAGAATGGCAAAAGAATTTGACTGGGGAAGGTAGGAGGTAGAAGTGGGGAAGTAAGATGTAGCAGGGATAGGTATAGGGGAGAGTGTAGGAACACCTTGGGAGGGAGGGGGAGGGGCAGAGCAAGCGACATTACTGGAGTAGGGAGCAAGAGAAAAACCTCGTCGACGTGCTTCCTGTCTGGCTTCACGCAGAGACTAAATCTGTAACTGAGAGTTGCCACCTCAGACTCGAACTTGTATGGGGGCCGTCGCAATTAGCCCATATACGTGACTGTGTAGAGCAGTTTGATCGGTTATGACCAGGTTGGGCACATAGGACATCAAACTGTGGAACGGCAGTGTTTGGCAGGATGTCCTAAATGCCAACAATTTTGAGATTGTTGGGGAGGAGGTTGATATTGTCATCCAGTGATGGATTCTCCTCTAATGTTAACATTATAGGGAAGGTTATGTCTACGGAAAGTAATTTTGACAATGTTGGTGGGGTTCTTACGATAACCTCCAGGAGGAATGGAGTAGTGCTGTAGTGATATTACATCATAGTCCGTGAGGCAGGTAGGTTAGTCTTCTCCACAATCTGACCAAGTTTTGTTATAGGGCAGTTTGCTGGGGAGATAGAGATAGTTCCGGTACAAGTATTGAGGGTTGAATGAGGTTCTGCAGGAGTAGGTTTGCCAGAGAGATCAGTTGGAGTTGATGATGCTATAGTTGGATTCCGGAATTAGCTGTGACGATTGGGTCGGCTACGCGAAGAGACTTTACCTAATTGTTTTTGGAGACATTGTTGAAAGAGAAGGTAGGGTTGTGGAGGTAGAGGTGATGAAGTTGAGAATGTTGGGAGAGTACTAATAGGCATTAAGGAGTGGGTTGTAGTTGCAGTGTTGTGGTCAAAGGAGAGCCTGGAGTCAGGGAACTGGGCGAGTTTGAGTTAGTGGGGCTATTTGATGAAAAGGCAAGCCTCATTGCCCCTAACAAGGGGTCTCAGTCCTCGCCTCCTAAGCCCCCCCCCCCACACACACACGACAAAAACGTGGAAGGGATGGGGGGTGGGAGTTGGGGTCAATTATATTGGGGTTGAGGGAGGGATATTTTTTGGAGTTTGAGTTACCTGGCTAAATGATTCAGGATGGGTCAAGTTGACATCGTGTTAACGAGGGGGTGTACTAGCAGTGGTTACAGCCGTAGCCATCAGGGGTTGATAAACCAGAGGAGTTAGATTTAGGGAGGTTATTTGATAAAAGGTCAGTGCCCCTAATGAGGGTACAAACTCTTCATTACTGTCCATGGTAAGCCTAAAATACGTCGGGAAGATAAAAGGTCAACCCCTTAGGGAAGGGCTAGACAATTAAACAAGGGAATACTGTGCCCATGGTTCACTGAGGCCGTTCACGAGTGGCACAACTTTCATCACTTCAACGCAGCTCTCTTACCTTAGGAACTGGATAAGGGAAAAGGTTGAGGAAGATATGAAAATGGAAATGAGGGGAAAGGATGGTATAAAATTAATTGACCAGAGGCTGAGGTCCAAGGTAGGGGTGATCCTCTACCTTTGGCCTCTGTCACGACATCAACAGGCCAGGGATTGGAGATAAAAGTTGAGTTCCTTTGCTGCAGTAGATGCTTAAAATTCAATACTAGAATTCTGGAAGGAGCACATGCTATCATTTAAAATTCAGACATATTTTTAAGGAATTTGTACTGCGAATAAGTAAATAAAATTTGCTGAATATTTTTCCTCTCTCTCACATTAGGACAGCTAATACCAGGCTTGAAGTGGGGATCACAAGTGTATTTGCGTAGTTAAAAATGAGGGTTCAGGTCAGAGAAGGACTAATGTTTGCCAACTAACAGGAAAATTACACCAAACTACCAGTGAGTATCGTCACTGAGCTTTTATTAGTCTACTCAAAACACAAAACATTTACATGTATTAATATTTGTCCATCATAATTTATTTAATTTCTTATGTGTTATATTGACTTTTCAAGGACAGTGTACATTTCAGGTTATATTTTCCTTTGCAAAATTTCCCTCTCAAAACAATCAAAAGCAAAGTAAAAGGGGTCTCTACAAGCAAATTAAGAAAAAAAAACTAATAGTTTCTGTATTTCCTAATGCTTATTCTTTAATATGCACATTACATGTTATATTTCAAAATTGATCTATTATTCAGATCCATAAAACTAGCTAAATTTCTAGTTATTTGAATTTACAACATATTCCTGATAACAAATTATCTTATTTATGATAAAAAATTGATGAATGAAATACAAGATTCAACAATGAATTACTAATGATTTTTTTTTATATCATAAAACAAAACTGATGTGCTT